AAATTGTTATAATAAGATAAATAAAAATCTGATTTATTTTCAATCAATCTTTACCTAATAAAATATTAGACAAATCTCCCTTCGCAAGCTTTGAATGATCTTCCGTCAAGTACTATCCAAAATGTTCCCAAGTTGAAACAATGTCCATTCGATTTTTCTCCAAGCCACAGTGGAAATATAAATATTCATCGCAAAAATGGCTTCAAGCGTTAACAGGACTTAACTTAAACCAGCGTCATTATCTCTAAACACAAAGAGAGGTTAAAGAGTACTTTCAAAGATTTTAACTATCCTTTCAAAGAACTCAGAGAAAGTTGAAGCAAATACATGTCTCAAAACTCTCCGGAAGAAAATAAAATTTTGACTTTAGAATTGATGACAAAGTAAGTTGATTTAAACGTTTTGAAATTATACCTTCCATACCACTTTATATAGCATTCTCTTTTAATGCGTATATACACTTGAAGTTCCGTTATTTTACTTTGATATTCAAAGAAAGCAGTCAAGATAAAAAAAATTGTCTACGTGTATTTCTTTAAAGTTTACTTTATTAAAACTTTAATTATAATTTTTTATATACTTTTTTTCAATTTTTAAAACAAATTAAATGAAAAGATCTTTTTGCTTAGGGAGAACTTCTGATAACTTTAAATACTAATCATTTTAATACTAATCATACTTTAAATACTAATCATTCATAAATAAAATTCTTAAATATTTTAATAGATTTATTTTCAATTAATTCTTCACCTAATAAAGTATTAGACCTCCTTTTGCAAGATTTAAATAATCTTCGATCAAGTTTCATCCCAAAAGTTTTCAAACAAAAATAACATTCATTCCATTTTACACCAAGCCTCAGTGAAAATATAAATATTCATTACAGAAATGGCTTCAAGCGTAAACAGGACTTAACTTAAACCAGCGTCACTATCTCTTAACACAAAGAGGAGTTAAAGAGAACTTTCAAAGATTTTAATTATCCTTCCGGAGTGCTCAGAGAAAGTTGAAGTGAATACATGTTTCGAAACTCTCCGGAAGAAACTAAAATTTTGACTCCGAAAACCAAAACTTTAGAATTGATGACAAAGTAAATTGAATTCCACGTTTCGAAATTCTACCTTCCATACCACTTTAAATAGCATTCTCTTTTAATGCGTATTATACTCTTGAATAAATATGCCTCAAAACACAACGAAGTTCCGTTATTTGACTTTGATATCCAAACAAAAGAGTCCGGAATAAAAGTATGGTTTGGTTTATTTCTTTGAAGTTTAAAATATTAATCGAAGAACAAAATATTTAAAAATACTTTGGATTTTTTATAAAGAAACAAAAGAAAGTTATATATTTTTTTAAATCATTAAAAGGAAATTTCCTTCAATTATTTATTTGAAATGTAATTATAAATTTTCTTTTATTTAACCAGTAGTCAATATAAGTGTTATTTATTTTTTAATCACATTTTCCAGTCACTAATATAAAATTAAACAAACTTCCTTTAACTTTTAAGCAATAAACATAAAATATTTTTTTTGCAATTATTTTCATTTTGAAATGCTAGAGATAATTACATAAGCTTGTTTGAGCAAAATATCTTGAAAAAATGACATTTAAATTAACTAATGTGAAAATATTAACTTAAGAATGCTGCTTAAAAAAATAATAAAAACGCAAGAAAAATAATTATTACTCAAAAACGCAAGCTACTGAACCCATTGATTGAAAATAGTTATATATTAATATTGTATTAACTTATAAAGTCTGAGAGATTTATTTATTTTTTAAATTTAGATAAAGCTGCTTAATTAAGCCATTTTTTAGATCAAGTCATTGAATGTTAATATCATGAAACTGTCACAAATACTTCGCCAATCCAATTGAAAATTACATTTGTTTTAGACATTTAAGAAAGGAAAAGAAAAATTTGTGTCACGAATAAGTCTTTAAGTATTATTAAATTATTAATTATAAGATGATATAAGGGAAAAATAAACTTATGCGAAACAAATTATTTTATTTTGATAATAACGATGTTTTTACTCTTATAACAGAAATTTTTTATTCAATAATAACAATAATACCAGAGGAAGAATAAAATGATCCTACTCATTTTAATTATTTTTTATGAGGAACGAAAAACTAAATAATAGTCAATTATTTTTCAAACCAAATATTTATTCTTGTTACCAGATCTTTTTTCTATTGCTAAAATACAAAGATATAGAAAATTTTGTTTACATTATAAACCAATATCAACATTCTTAAAAATTTTATATTCCCGATAACCTCTTAAGCTTCATCAGTTTTAACATATTTCAAGTATAGCATTTTATATGTCTGTAGATTATGTTTTCATAACTTAAAAAATCTATAACTATATTTTCATAAATCATAAATCCAGAAAACCATTTTAATGCAGATTTATTTTTAAAAAATATTTCGTTTACTAATCCATCAAAATCATACTTATTCGAAAAAATGAGTAAGTAAGCATGATCCTGATGATCTCAAGAAACATTACATTTTCCGACAATCTAGACTCTGAACGATTGAAAACTCGTTTTCGCAATCCGTTACTTTCTTTATGAAAAATCCGTTACAAAATTTACAATTATTTTAAAATATAATTTATTTAATGATTTTTAACTTTATCATTCAGCCCAAAGAATATGAATATTACATTCTTAATGAAAGTTTAAATAAGAGAATTTAATATTGCCATTTTGATTTAAAAAAACATATCAAATAATTTTTCCAATTCAAGACGCGTGCATTTTCTAGCAACTGAAGCATTTTTAAGAAGAAAAAAATATGTAACCATATACTCGAGTTCCTTAAATGTAAGCTAATTTTTTTATTTCAGAAGAAGTTTTTATGCTTAGAGGGTATTTTTCATTTTTAAATCGTTTTATTTTTAAATAGTTTTATTTTCAAAGATGGAATCATAAATGCGAGAAAAATTTTAAGTAGTAATTGTGTTTTAAAAAAATAATTATTGCACAGTATAAAAAATAAGCTAAATTGAAAAGGAGAATTAGAAAAAAAAACATGTATTTTCAGGCAATAAAACATGCATTTTTTTAAAGAAAAATTTATGCAATGAAATAATCGAGTTCTTTAAGCTGAAGATAATTGTTTTCTATCACAAATAAGAAATATGATAAAAAGGTGCCTTTTCATTTCCGACAGGGGTTCGCAAGTGGGAATAAATTTTTAAGAATCAAGCATTTTTTTTTTTTATAAAACCAAGCATTTTACTAGATAAAAAAGTACGCTTAATTAATAAGTGAAGTAAGAGAAGAAGCATAATTTTCTAATAGTTAAAAGACTTTTGAGATTGAAATATTTTAGTTTTTAAATTAAAGTTAATTTTTTTTCCATAAAAAAGAGAGAAATTTTGCTAACAAGATGTCTTTCATTTTCCAATAGTTTCTCTTTTTCAGTTGAGGCAAGGCTAGATTAAGGGGGGAGGGCTACTTGGGCTATATACCCAGCCCCCCCCCCGTTTTCTTAGGTTTATTAGGCTCTCCAAGTTTCTTAGGGCAAAGTAAAATAGATTCCCGTAATTTCCAATAAATGTTTATATATTTTGGAGCGTAATGTCTTAGAATTCGGAAAATAGATTTAAAAAAAAAGGTATTTGATCATTTTGTATCTTTCATTTCCTTCAACCAATTCCTTAATTTTATCTATTATCTTCTATTGCTTCAAGTTACAAGTGCTCGATTTTTCTAATTAATTTCCTGTGATCATCTACAAAAAACCTAAAATTTCCTGTATAGCAAGTAATGACAAAATATAACAAGTTAAGTAAAAATAGAAAATTTCTAAATTCTTCTTCTCTTTTTTATTTTCAAAAATTGCATGTTTGATAGTTTTTACTACTACCTAAAATTTATAATTTCATACCGAATATTTTTTGACACTTATTTGTATTTTAATGTAATTATTTTCGTTAAAAATTAAAAATTTCAAAAAACTTCTTCGCTTTGTAGTTTAATACAACAAGCATAACTTGGATTGAGTTTCATAAAAACTGTCAATATCTCTGAATATAGGTATATTTTAGTCAATTTGGTATAGGCAAGGCCCCTAGTTACGCAACAGCATCAGGCTCCGCCATACCTTAATATAACCCTGAGACAAGGGGTCTTAATATGAATTGTCTTTATTTAAAACAACAGTTTTTCTGAACTGCAAAAAATATACTAATTTGAAAAGTTGAACGAGATAAAAGAACAAGAAATGTAATTTAAGAAAAGGCTAGTGAATAAACATTTTTCTGAGCTTCCGTTAAATGTAGACAAATAGAAAATTCATGTGTTACATTCTTACATTTCCTTATGTTAAAACATGCATTCCTTTTTTTCTAAGTTAAAAAATTATCACATTAGAAAAAATATAAATATAATAAAACAATCACTAATGAAGAATAAATTATTTGAAAATTATAATTTCCCATCTTAATTTACAAACCTCCAAAAGGCAACATTCAAATTATCATAAAACTTGGAATTTTTTATTAGTTGCAACTTTTGTCATGGTATAAAACTTTAAAAGATGACAAAACAAATTTTAAAATTAATTTTACATCAATTACGAATATGAATAAACCTCAAATGTATTTCTAATTATAATTATCTATTATATTTATTACTTCAACTGTCAAGCATCATGATTATAATTTTCAACTACTATTACCATGATCATCTACTGTCTAACATGAATAATTACCAATTATCAATAAACCATGAATTTTATAACAATCATAATTTTTCGTAGCATATTTTTTTAAAAGATGACGATAGAACTTTTAAAAGATTGACTTAATTTAAGCAGAAATGGGTTCATTAGCATGGGAAAATCCTCAACTCCCGAAAAGTGAAGATTTAAAACAAAGTTTACTTAATACATAATTTATCACATACCTCCACAATCATTTAAATTTATTCGAAATAAGAATTAGATCCATCTATATTAATTATTAAAATCTTTACCTGGTTTTCTGATCTGTAATCCTGAAGCAGTAAAAAGAGTAGCAAAAACACTGATCATTGAAAGCATCCTCATCTTGGTGTTCCGCATGCTAACATGAGTTCGAAGCGGACCGATGCTCCCGCCACAACACAAGCCAGTTATGATAGAAGAAGATCTAACAGTTATCCGATCACACACTTTTCCCACTCTGAGTTTCAACTGATGATTGCTGCGCCATCTCTTAGAGCAGTCGTGTACTTTTACTCAGCTCTTAAAGCTTCTTCAAACAAAAAAAAGTAAATTTGAATATACTATCTTCTATCTTCAATTTTATGCACATACTTTTGATCCAAGTTCTAGCAGCATTATGGTTTCTAAAAGCTCTTTTAAACGGAATTTGCTTTTTTTTTTTTTTTTTTTTTTTTTTTTTTTTTTTTTTTTTTTTTTTTTTCTGAAAAATTCATACAATATTGCTAGAAATATATTGAAATAGAATAAGTATAAGCCACAAAGAAGGGTATTTTTCCCCCAAACTCTGATATTTTTATCTTTGATTATTTCAGTTAATGGTAAATTTTGCACAATTAAAGAGGGACGTTGATAACTTCTTATTTTTGATCAATTTGTGATACTGCTATTTATCGTAAAGATTTTAAGTTAAACATATTTTTCAATTTTTAATAATTCCTTGATTTAAAAATTAGTTTTTTTAACAAATATATGCATATTTCTATTTATTAATTACGCAATCTTGCGAAACTAAGCATTTCTAAATGACATTATATTATAGTCTCCTCCAAATTTTATACCCAATATTATGTTATGTTCTTATAGGCCTATCCAAATTTTATAAAGTTCTTCCGTTATTTTTAGAGCTTTAAACTTAGTGTCATGCTCTTGATCTAACAATATTTGTTTTCCCAAATTTTCTTACATTTTAAATAAATAAAGTACTTTTATTAATGTTTTGTCTTTAATACTTTTAAATTCAGTGTCATGCACTTCATCTAACAATACAATGTTTCTCAATTAATAATATTTTATAACAGAAATAAAAATGTGCAAAAATGTCAAAAATTTTCGCCCCGAAATTATTTTCTCGTAATGGATAATTTTATCTATCAATAAAAAGAGGTAAAAAGTTTAAATTATGTCTTAAATCCTATTTTTGATTCAATTCAAAAATCCTAGTTTTGATTCAATTCAAAAATAAAATTTGACGTACAATTGTCAAAATAAATAATGCTTTCTTTTTCAAGTTCCTTAAATGAATAGATTTGAAGTGAGTATTTTGTTAAAATACCTTGTGAACTATAATGCCCAGAAAATTTTCCTTAACCAAAAGATTAGGTTATCGGTTGATTGGTCCATTTCATTGCTTAATAGACTTTAAGCAGTTTTTAGTGCTGATAATTTCGCGATTTTATACGTTGTTATCCTTAACTGGCAGAGCTTTTTTTAAAATAAAATCTAAAATGTATCTGAAATATTTTTAGGATTTTTTGAAATTCTTCAAAATATCCCGGGAAGGTTTCTCTTTCACATTAGAAAGATACAAAGCTCTCTTAGACCCATAAATCCTTACAAGAAATTTTTCGTTTAAAATGTAATAAGGCTGTTCTTGTAATTCCTCTTGTAATATCATGGATTATCAACACAATACTTCTCTTTATCACTCTAAATAATGTATATATATATATATATATTGTGATTTTTAAAAAGAAAGCTACAATATAGGGTTAAATTTCTAAATTCACTTCGAGGAAATTTTCGTATTGTAACTTTTTTTAGGGTATGTTTTTGAGGCATTATCTCAATGCTCTTTGTTTTACTTAATTAATCAAAATTGTATTTAATTTACATAATTTAACTAAAAGAGAAAATTAAAACATAGGGACACTACATATTCGTGAAGCACTACATAACTAAGAAATTGAATGGTAAACATTGCTATCCGCTACGTGGATTGTCAGTTGTTTGAAGAAGGTTAATAAGTTATTCACTATTTTTTTAACTTTATTTCATTGTTAATATCTAAATACCATTTGTATAGAAAAGAAACTAACCACCTATAATAAATTTCAGGGGCTCGTTGGCCGAATGATATCGACCATCAAACGCTTTGTAGCGTGAAAGGTACTGCTTTCGAATCCCGCCGTAACCCTGGTTGTATCTCCGTGCAGTCCTTTCTCTAAATTTATTATTTGTCTTTCTACCTGACAAAGGCTTATTAACCGCACTTTTGTAACTCAGTTCACAAGCTTGTATGCATTTGTAACCAAATAATAAATAAACAATTTGCATCAGTGTAAAAAATTTATCCGAAGCAAATGAGTAAATTAAAATTTACATTAAATTTAGGAAGTTTTGTTCTGAAATGTGTTTCTTTTTCTTCCTTTATTGTAAATATTCTGTTTCTATAACACAAAATAACAGTAAAATCAAAATTGTAATTAAAAATTGAGTAAAATAACTCTTTAAAAACTATTAACAAACATAAAAGTTACAGAAAATTTTAAAATTGCATCGTAAAAATTGTTGAAGGTTTTTTCGTAGGTATAACATGAACTTAAATGTTATTAAATTCAACTATCGATCTAATAAAAGTGTGCTCGAGCAATAGTATTCTAATAATCTGTTTAATTTACTCAGCTTTGGTTAATTTTCAGTGAGCATTCAGCTATCTTTATTTATCACCAGAGGGATTTAGTTATTAAGAAACATTTTTTTTTTAATTTTGTGTACATAATAAGCAAAAAAAGATATCTCCTAGAATAGTTTGACTTCTAATAATCGAATCCAATAATCGAGCCAATCTTAATGGTTGATTTTAAATATGCCAACTAATCACTAGCACTAGCTCACAGTGCTGACGTGAATTATCCTCAGTGGTAGACGGATCATAGGTTAGAGTCCCCTTGCCATCAGGCTAACCGTGGGAGGGTCTCGTGGTCTTCCTCTGCTTGTAATGCAAATGCGGGTTAGTTCCATCAAAAAGTCCTCCACGAGGGCAAATTTCTCCCAATACTTGAACCAGGAATTCCCTTGCCTTCTGAATTGGGTTCAAAATTACAAGGCTACGGAGTTGAACATTAGTAGTCGTAAACCCAAAAAATGAATCGGAACTGTTCGACGTCGGTTATAAAATGAAATACAAAAAATTCTGATTTTTGACTTTCAAAATATGGGGATTACCCCTATCTGACTAATATAATCCCAATAATTTAGTTAGTAAGTGGCAAGCCACCTTACATTTATCTTATTTTTACGAATTTCCCCACAATCGGGAACTTTTCGAGCAAATTAAAAAATTAAACATAAATAATGTTAATGTTTAAAAAAATAATGTCTAACAATTATTTGTTACTATATTCAATAAGGGTTGAAAAACTTTTAATTGTAAGAACAGCAAATTTTTTATATCATTTTAAGCAATGTAAGTTTAAGTTTACACAACAGCAAAATTTGACACAAATAGTTTACGAGTTAAGAAATTTCAAAACAAGGACTCATTTTCAAATTTTTATTTCGCAAGAAATATTTGGCCAATTCAGTTCAAATCTTTGTCATTTCAAAATTACATAGTTCAACATGATGTGAAAATTTTCATACTTTAAAATACAAAAATTTTTGAGCATTTTTAAAGTAAATAATAAATAATTACAAGCAATTATTAAAAAATATTTTTTACATGGAATTATCTTTGAAGTGAGAAAAATTTCGTAATTTTTTTTCTCCAAAAAAACTTGTTATTCGATTAAAAAATTTTCCGAAACTTAACTAAATTAGCAAAAAGTCAAATCAATCTTGAGGCGCCCAGCTTTTCGATCGCTCTCCGGAACTAAACTATAGAGACCTTATTTCCCAAATAATAGCTACATCCGTATTTTGATGGTTAAGAATTGAATGTCTATTTGCTCGGGAAAAAATTGCTTTTGTGTCTGAGCAACTTATGGAATAATTATGAATAATTAATTTAGATATTTAAGATCAACCTTTTGAACCATTGTGATTGGCACTTAGTTACGTGAAAAGCCAACCATTAAAACAAGTTATCTTGATTGATATCTTTATATTTATTTTCTTACTCTCTTTAATATAAACTTTAATTGTATTGTGCTAATCTAATAATAATGAGCCTTGGTGGCTCTGGGGATAGAGCGTTCGTCACCCAATGAGGCGAACCGGGTAAGAATTCCAGCGATAGCTGGGATACGAATTCCACACCCGGCTCGCACCGACCACTGTCCTGACGAAATGTCATGTGGTAGATGGATCATGGTTCAGTGGTCCCTTGCCCTCAGGCTAAGCGTGTGAGGTTTTCCTCATCATGTAGTTCAAATGCTGGTTAATTCCATCAAAAAGTCCTCCACGAAAGCAAATTTCTCCCAATACTTGATCCAGGAGTTCCTTTGTCTTCTGGATAAAATTACATGGCTACGGAGTTGAACATTGGTAGTCGTAAACTCAAAATTGGGACGGTAACGTAAAAATCTGCAGGAATTGTTTCCCACAGTGCACAGCTATTCAACTCATTTGCAGAAGTTTCTTAAAAATCTATCATAATTTAATTGTTTCAGTTAACGTTTTTTTTTTCTTTTGTCTTCTTTTTTTTTTTTTTTTTTTTTTTTNTTTTTTTTTTTTTTTTTTTTTTTTTTTTTTTTTTTTTTTTATAACTGATTTTTTATTTAACTCACTGAGAACGCTCTGAGGAGAACTTATACTCTAATAACAAAAGTTTGTAATTAGTTTTCCTTTAAATCTGAAATAAACCCTACTAATGAATGAGATAAACCCTATACTTTTTCTCAGCACAGCCTATAAACTATTTAAATTGAACTGGTAAGACAAATTTTGAAATTTAAAAGCATAATTCCAGCTAACAAAAATGTTACTAAATGTTGGAAACAATTTCCTTTCAGCGTTCATTCAAGTATTAGCTATAATTTTTACCTTCACAACATCGACGTAAGAAAACTGTATCAATTGTGTCTCGCTAAATACTTTTCATGAATAAAAAAAATGGAAAACTTAATGATTTAAATATTGTGCGCCTAGTTTATAGGTTGCGTGTACAGTGTTAGAATTTTTATTCTATAAATAACCGGTAGCAGCTTGTTCATCTAACTAACCATAGTTTACAGTCATGAATCTTGACCATTACTGTTTTAAATCCGTTTATAAATGGTATGGTTAAGAGTTGTATGGTAT